CAAGTTGCGAAAACAAGGTCAAACAACTTCTATACAACGGAAGGAGACTGCGACCACAAAAAAAGGCCACGCCATCTTGGTCTTCATACTTTCGATAATATTAGTTGGTCTAAAGTGTGTGTGGGCTTGTGTGCAATTTTTGTGTGACTTAATGAGGCAAATGGCGATATACCTTACCAGGAGAGATACCAACTAATGTATGTACGAGCAACTGATCATGGCCTTAGGATTATATTGAAATGTCAACTTGAGAGTCAAGAGTGTGTTTTACACGAATGAGTGGAAAAAATGGAAACGTTGCATTTGCACATCAGCAGTTTCGAATTGAGCCAGACACAGGGCCCCGAAGAATGAGATACAATGGAGGTGAGGATAAAAAAGGGTAATTGGGTCATTGGCACGAAGCCTACGGAGAAGAATATTCCTAGACATGGGTATCATCTGTTCTAATTCCTCGAATATGGCTAAAATTTGGGCCGGAATTGAAGGCTCATAGGCGGCCAGACAGTGATATTGATGTGCAGTAGACACTAATTAACAAGCGGGGAAGGAGCTAGATGAAAATCAAAGCCTTGTAAGCGGCATTTGAAACCTTCAGTAAAGATGATTAGGCTTCATTAAATCCGTTTGTATAAACACACGCTTATGGTACATTGGGGCAAACGAGAGAACAAATGGTGTGAATAGATATATGGGCGATATGAAGTGGGGTTGAGGGAAAGAGATGCAGCACTATAAGGTAGGACAAAGATTGGTAACGAGGAGTGACGCCACAAAGGATAAATATAAAATTAGTTAAAGTGATTGACTTAACTTGTCAACTTGATAAATTGTAACTCTGTGCTAATAATGCCGTCTCTCAATGACGATGCCGGCGAAAGGTCTGAGAATGTACAAAGTCAATGGTCCGATGCTCGAAATCACAAATATAGTGGCAGAGGACGCAGGACTAGGTACGTTTCACAAGGTCTACCTGACGCACCGATCACGTTTCGAAAACGAAGTCAAACCAAAACTATGAAGCTAAAGAAAAGTGCACCAAACAGAAAGTCACGCCCTCTTGGTCGTCATAAATACGATCTAATTAGGGTAAATAATCTTTTTTATTTGATTATTTATATTGTGCATGTGTTGTCAATAAGTTCTTATATAATTATTGCAATTATGAGGACTATTGAGTTACAAGTGAGTAACACAAGTGATGTGAACCGCACTTATGTCATTGTCGCCTTCGAGAAATATTAAAAACACTACCAGCTTGTTCAGCCATATGCTGGATGGCAGTAGCTCTCTGCTGCTGAAAATCACAGGACGAAGGACTTGAAGGGCTGGTGGGTACAGCTAGCCCGATTCCAAGTGCAATTGAGGCTCCATTCGGTTTACCGCGGCCAAAAATAGGCACCTCAGTAGAGGATGAGGTACTTGCCATGACAGTTGGCATCGTAACGGCAGTTGTTGCCAAGGCCGTCGCTGAGGTGATAGCGTTTGCAGAAGCCTCATAGGCGCATTGGTTTACAGCCCAAAGAACAGCCTCAGAGAGACTGGTAAACCATAAAGGTTGCAGAGGCTTAAATTCCTCATCATTCGGCCGTTTTTCTCTGTTACAAAACAAATGTGAAGGTTCATTAAGGCCACTTTGTAGGTGGGTGGTCTCAGCTGATAAGGCGAGAGGCTGAAAGAGGAACGTGGAGCGATTGCAGGACAGAATTAAAAGCAATATTTTTTTCCTTCTTAGAATAAATTCTAAAACTATCAGTATACAGTGCATTAAGATTTTTTGAATAATAATTTAGATTATCAGGCTCTGAGGAGTAGCCTGATAAGTTGACTTTCATTTTAAATGGAGGTAAAAATAAAATATATAGGATATTTTCCTATAGCAAGTACCCCCGCTACTTTAGAAGGCATGAGACTAATAGCAAATATTTCGAAAAAGCTGTAAGATGTTAAAATTAATCAAAGAGAAATAAAATAACTATACGAACACTATCTCCGTAATTCCATGCTGCACAGTCATCAACAAGAGTTAATTCATCCCGAATCCGCTTTCCACGTCGACTGAGAGGAACCCTCTGATCACCTCGACGTAAAGGAAACGATCCTCGACGAATCACTATTGAGGTGGAGACATCTTCCCTTCCTGGGGAATTAGACAATTCAGAAGATTGAGTTTTAAAACCGGTTGCCAAAAGAGGACTCGAACCAGGCATATTAGCATTGCCTGTAGGGATTGGTGCTGAGCTCGTTGCAGAAAATGGAAGTTGCATTGCGGTACGCCGCTTACGCTCTCGGCCCGTATACGAAAGATAGTGATCATCAAGGGGATCATCGGGCTCACATATAGCAGATGTTTTAGAAACTTGATAGACCACTCTATTCAAAACTGAAAAAAAGAAGATATAAGACTTTGAAAGTGCTATTGTTATGTTCGATATGCTATCTAAAGACGTTTTGAAATGAATAATGATACATTAGGATGTACATAAAGCATAATATAAGGAAGAAATATAACATCAATTAGCTTTACGCAATTAATCAGTTTGGAAAAATCT